TATGATATATATCAGTGTTTCCCAACCTTTTTTTAGTCGCGGCACCCTTTGGAAATTTTAACAAACTTGTGGCACCCTACAAAATAAATTGTCACAATATTTGAATTTCTAACTTCGATATGATAATTTGAAAAGTATAGATATTTGGTACAACAGGGAAGAACTGCAGAATATAATGTCATACAGATATTTTTAATATTATTAAAACATATTGTCCATCAACGGTAGCAATCGGTAGGCTAATTTCTAATGAAGAGAACAATTTATATGACAGATTTTAGTTCCTGTCGGCTCAATTTTTGAGTGGACTTTGCTGTTCCGATTCGCATGAACGGTATACGAGTGCAGCTGAGCGGAGCACACACGAATAGAGCGGGATAATACGCAGAGCGTCATACCGCGTGAAAGTGAAACCTGAGCGGTTAACTAATTTTCGGCAGCCGAAATTTCGGTGCATCTCTAATTATTGGCGACACCAGAAATGGATATTATATAATAGATGCTTTTTTGAACATTTTAGCAATTTAAAAATATTAAAAAATTATTTTTTACACGGCACCCCTGCTCTCGACAGACGGCACCCCGGTTGGGAAACACTGATATATATCATTGCCGTGAAATAAAATTACTCATATTGTGATATAAGATTTTAGTCATATCGCTGACCCAGTTGGTTATTAGAGACAACATAAAACTAGTATGATGTGTAAAATAAATTGATTTACTTAAGAATGGTACATTTTTCTGAATTTGCTTTCACTGTTGTTTGATTTCTGTCTTTTTTTTTGTGCAGGCAAAATGTCTGTTGTTTGATGGACAGAGAAACAGTTTGTCTTAATAAAACTGAGCAACTGTCGCTCCGTCTGTTGATGGCTACCTAAAATAAGCTATGAAATTGTTGATATTTTTGTTCAGTCTTATTTTACCTGTTCAAGTTTTAATATATTTGTTCAGTAATATATTGTAAACAATTTAAGGACTGGCCTGTTTGAAATAATAGAATTGCCTTTCAATAATACAGTATTACTGTTCTTTGAGGTCAAGAACAGCACTCAACTGTTTCACTGTTTCCAAGCGTAATCCAATTATTTATTTCAGCATTACATTACATGCTTTTTCATTTGTCAGCAGTGAGGAAATCGAACCTTTCAAGAGTCATGGATTTCTTGTCTTTACTATTCACTGTGGTGCTTATTTTAGTCATACTATTATATGTTTGAAATGATGCTACTGCATTATGTGCAATGTTGTCAAATAGCATTTACTAAGGATGAATAAGGAATGTCAAAAATGTACTGAATTGCCCAAAGTTTGCTAGCAATATGAAAAACATCATTGTTAAAACTGTGTACACGTGTACATTGAAATTGTTTCAAATAAAAATGTATACCACCTGGTGTTTAGCTATATTGATGTGCTATAGACACTATAGTGTTTGATTACAGGCAAGCATGAAGCAATGAGCAGAGGCTGAGAGGCTAATTTCTCAAGCACAATCTTCATGTTTCAGGTGTTATCTGAAGCAGCCAAAACCTGGGTGACTCAAAGTTGCCTCAAGCTGCGAGTTCACACATGGAGTGAATAGTCAACAAGGTTGAGTCTAGCAACATCCTAAAGCCAGAAGTGTCCATACACCACTGGCTTATGAGGCAAGACAGGATGCCAAAATGATTTTCACTGGTTTTCTAAATCAGAACAGGACACAGCTCCATTTACCATAAAAACAGACATGCAGTGTATTATGTTATTAATATGAGTATTTTGATTGGCCATATGTACATTTCTATAATACACTACTGTGCAAAAGTCTTATGCTATTAGTATTTTCACCAAAAAAAAAAAAAAGGTTTTAAGTCAGCTAACTCTATATTTTGCTCCAATGTGTCAGTAGGAAATTTCAGTTTAAATTTCAAAACATTCCTTTAGCCATTAATTGTTATAATCCAGTGAGATTTTTGTTTGCACAAGGAGTCTGACAACAGAGATCTGATCTCATCATCCAGTCTGTCTGGAATGACATGAAGAAACAGAACAAACTGAGACAGACTAAATCCAGAAGAACTGTGCCAACGTCTCCGAGATGCTTCAAGAGACCTACTTGCAAAGCTACCTGAAAAACTAGCTAAAGCTGTTTTAAACACCAAGGATGGTCCCACCAAATGTTGATTTGATTTCCTAAATCTATTTAGCACATTATTTTTGACAGCATCCTCACTATACAGCAGTTTTACACAAGTGCCTAAAACTTTTCACAGTACTGTAGCTTTGCAGGTAGGTTTCTTGAAGCATCTTGGAGATGTTGCCACAGTTCTTCTGGATTTAGTCTGTCTCAGTTTCTTCATGTAATCCCAGATGGATTTGATAATGGGTGAGATCAGATCTCTGTGTGGAGCATTGGCTGTTGTCAGACTCCTTGTGCATACAAATGTCTCAGTGGATGATTACAATTAATGGCAAAAGGAATGTTTGGAAATAACGATAACTGGCTTAAAACCATTTTTTTGTTGTTGTTGTTGGTGAAAATACTAAAGGCCTAAGACTATTGCACAGTAAATGTATACAAATGTATACAGACATCTCTTTGCCTGGTATCAGCAATAAGTGCATGTACCAATATTGCAATATGAACTGTGCAAAGAATATTCAACTTAAAGGGTTAGTTCACCCAAAAATGACAATTCAGTCATTAATTACTCACCCTCATGTCGTTCCAAACCCATAAGACCTTCGTTCATCTTTGGAACACAAATTAAGATATTTTTTATAAAATCTGATAAAAACATGCGTGCGCTGTCTATTGAACGTAAACAACGCTGATTACGTTGATTACGTTCTGGGGTACTCTCCAAAATGATAGAAGACGGTAACTCGGGGAGAAGAATTGTTGAATAAATTATGTTATTATTGTTTTCTTTGAGCACAAAAAGTATTCTCGTATAGCTTCGTAAATGACGGTTGAACCATTGATGTCACATGGACTATTTTACCGATGTCCTTGCTATGCTTCTGGGTCTGGGAACATTGCAGCTGCATTGCTGTCTACGGAGGGTCAGAGAGCTCTCAGATTTGATAAAAAATATCTTAATTTGTGTTCCAAAAATAAACAAAGGTCTTACGGGTTTAGAACGACATGAGGGTGAGTAATTAATGGCAGAATGTTGATTTTTGGGTGAACTAACCCTTTAAATCGATGCAAAATCGATATTGGAATGTGCAAGATAGATGACCAGGAAAAGGTCAAACAGCTAGGCCTAGATGAAGTTCTCAACAAGTATGATTAAATGACTAATACTGAGCTCAAATGATCCAGTACTACAGCAAGGGTGCAACAGTAAAGTCTCACTCAAATGTGCATTATGGGGACATATGTTAAATTATTCATTCTGAGGACACCACTGTCTAAATAGATAAGGTTATCACTTGGAGTAGGATGAAAAGGATTTCAAAATCCAGGAAAATGCATGGAATTGTGGATGAAACCTTTGAAGATAACTGAAATTGTTCAGTGGGTTTGCGTACATGTGCTTTTTACAACAGGGCTTTCACTGATTACCCTCATGCAAACACTTTGAAGAAAGTCACCTTTAAAATAGGAACTTTAAATTGCTTGACTGGACAAATACAATTCAAGCCACCTATTCAGTTCCCCTTTCCTTCTTCCTGGTGGTTTAAGGTTCCTTTCAGTTGCTAAAATATACCAGTGGAAAAATGTCCTTTCCCTTAGAGTGTGGTGCAATCATTGTCATGCTGCAGTGCTCTCATCTCCAGCCCTGGTTCAGCTCTCAATAGGAATGTGTGGCCAAGAGGTGGGGTGCGAAACTGGGAAACTGTTGGCAGCATTTGAGGGACACATCTGTGCTTCATCACTGGAGCCATATTCAGATTCCCCAGTCTTTACAAACTCCAAAGTATTCTTGGACTCCTGCATGGAGCAGCACAGATAACTTAGTACCTTTTAAAACAGTGTCTATATTTGAGACACTAAACTGTCTGTGAGTTGGTTTAGCATGTGTGTGTAAATAAACCTGAAAAAAGCTTGCATTTAAGTGTGCAATTCACACCAGGTTCACCCGGCTGTTACCCAACAAACACCCGCATTCACACAAAAGACCACACTCATGTAGCCTAATACAAGAACCACATATGTATACATAGCCTATGAGTGGGTATAACAGTATAACAGGATCTGAAATTTGTTACAAATGTATTTTCATGTAGCCTATTTAACAAATGGTCGGTATAAAGAGAGGTTCTCTAATTTTCAGAAAATGTTGATATTCAAGCTTTCAATTCAATCTTCCTTTCATGATTGTGCAATTTTCTAGCTAACTAGCTAGCTAGCTAAATAAATAAATAAATAAACAAACAAACAAACAAACATTTAAACTACCAGCATTAAGAACACAGATTCAAATACAAATTCAAAAAACATATTTTTTTTAATCCAAGGTTGCAATTTTAGCTTAAATAAGGTAGGGACTAGCTATCGTTTGAGATCAAATGTTCGTTTGTAGGATAAACTTGACATAAATTAACAAACAACATTTTTTTTATTTATTTTAAAATAATAATAATTTGGATAACAGGTTGAATGGCCGAGCTTGACGAAAATCTTAGTAATTAAAATTTGTAAAGCTTTTAAAGTATTTTATACAATGAATTTATATGAATTAAACATATTACGCAATTGTTGTACGATTTTATTTTGAATTTAGAAAATCAAGAACCTAAGACAACAGTTTTTCAAACATATCTACATTGGATGTCTTTGCTACATTCAACTCAAACCTTCTCTGATCAAACATTTATTATTATATTTTTAACAAAAACCCGCTAGGGTGTGGTAATACAATTGGACCAATTGAATCGGCGAATGTACCTTATTAATATTACATAAGATGAGTAACGCAATAAATTAAGCAAATGTTTAAAACACCAATGATTGAGCTCGCTACGTGACCTCTATATTAATATTCATGAGCTCCTCGCCGCCACGCCTCCGCAGTGGTCTTCCTGTGGTTGTGTTGTCTGCGTCCTATTGGGCAGACGCATCTTGGCCGTCGTCACACATTACAAATTTTCACTTTACGCGTAAAATATTATTAAAACATGTCGTCTTTGTATAAGCCGTTTTCTGTTTCGGAAGGGCCGTGCAAAGATGCGATACTGAGACAAGGATGCACGCCGCTACAGCATCCTGCAGCGCTGACCCGGATTCCCTCCGCCGGCGGGGGCTCGACGCGCACTTTTACCCCAATTCCTAACATTTATCCAGGCCAGAGGAATCTAGCGGCCGCAGCAATCGGAGGGAGAAAAATCACCCATCCGTGGAAGGCTATTCTTGCAGGTAAGTGCGTACTGTGTTTGTGTTAGAAGCACACAAGCGCCAATGTTTTGGTGGATCACGCTATACCCTATTATGTGCGAGACCACAACAACAGTCATGTGTGATTACGGATCAAATGTCTCCCATTTATAACCCCTCCAGTCTGCCATTACTGTGAAACTCACTGTCAGTTCATGACCTGCATGTCTTTGTTTAGTCAACCAAATGGTAGCTTCCGTGCTTCCAGTCATGTATTGACATGTATCTCATGTATTCTACAGTGTTGGACACTTGAAACAGTGTGCCAATACTAACATAAACTAATATAAATGTCAGTTTAACTACTTAATCATATTCCAACATTATTACTTTAACAACAAACACTTTTTTGGTTGCTTTGTTCAAACATTTGTGTGTTAAACAACCAAGCAGAACAAAATGACCTTGTATGAAACTGACTTGTTCTTGATGGAAGTTAAAACAGCTGTATCACATAGATTGCCTCTGATGTCAGTGAATGTAATTTAGATGCACTTTATTTACTGATGATATTATTTTTTACCCAGGTGGCATTGCAGGAGGCATTGAGATCTGCATCACATTTCCAACAGAGTATGTGAAGACCCAGCTACAATTAGATGAAAGAGCAAATCCTCCACGGTACCGAGGCATAGGTGAGGACGACGACTGTTATTAAAGCAATAGCTCACCCCATAATTACAATTTTCCGAAAATGTACTGCCTTTAGGCTGTCCAGGATGTAGATGAGATCATTTCTTTGTCAGAACAGAGTTGTAAAAAATAAAAAAACAACTAAGAAGTTTGAAACTTAAAAAATCTGTTTATTCAGGTTAAAATACGGGTCCTGAATGTATATTATTGCTTCCTATGGTGAAAAACTTGTCTTGTCCGAATCAGGAGAGAAATATGCACAGATCAAGCACTGTTTACAAGTGAAAACAGTTTTAAACAATGCGTTAGTGGATTTTGATGCAAGAAGAGTTATTATGGATTATGGACTGATATTTTGGCCATAAGCATCAGTTTAAAAATAAAGTGCTTTGATAGATTTGTTTCTTAAAAACACGCAGCTTTTCACTTCACAAGACATTAATTGATGGACTGGAGTTGTGTGGATTATTATGACGTTTTTATCAGATATTTGAATTCTCATTCAGACAGCACCCGTTCACTGCAGAGGATTCATTGGTGAGCAAGTGATGTAATGCTAAATTTCTCCAAATTGGTTCAGATGAAGAAACAAACTCATGTAGGCCTACATGTTGGAGTAAATTTTCAGCATTTTTTATTTTTGGGTGAGCTATTCTTTAACTATATGAATGAACAAAATATGTGAATGTTTAAATGAAATGCGTAACCTGGATTTTTGCACAGGTGACTGTGTTAAGCTGACGGTGCAGGATCATGGGTTGAGAGGTCTATACAGAGGACTTAGTTCACTGCTTTATGGATCCATCCCGAAATCTGCAGTACGGTAAGAAACGTTGGTCTTTAAGTGTTTAATCTTAAATAGTGTCTCTGTTGCTGACACACTTCATTTTGACATTATGGCAGGTTTGGGACATTTGAGGTTCTTAGTAACCCGATGAGGGATGCCACGGGGCGGCTTGACAATAAAGGCAGTTTGCTGTGTGGGCTTGGAGCGGGAATCGCAGAGGCAGTGTTGGTGGTCTGTCCAATGGAGACAGTCAAGGTAGGACTGTTACTGGTTGTCTTAGTTGTACATCAAAAGAATATATCACCTTAAAGCGATAGTTCACCACAAGTTGGTCCCCACTGACTTGCATAGTTTTTTTTTTTTTCTCTCCATACTATGGAAGTCAATTGGGGACCAGCAACTGAAGGTGAACTATCCCTTTAACTAGTCCTCTGTAATGTACATTCTCACTCAAAATATGTCCTGTTTGTATTATTTTAAGGTGAAATTCATTCATGACCAGTGCTCTCTGAGGCCACGCTATCAAGGGTTCTTCCATGGTGTACGGGAAATAATTAGAGATCAAGGTACTAAAATGAAATCACTACAATTTACTTATTCATAGAAAATTTAATGGAAGTAATAGCATATATCAACATGTGGGCCACAAAATGAAAAAACAACAACAAAAAAAAGAGTTTGTGAAAAATTAAATATAAAAGAACATAATAAAATGAGTAAAATTGTAATAAAATTTTTCAAAATAAAATATAGAATTAGTTAAAATATAAAATAAAATGTTAAAATTTTTATAATCGTGCCTAATAGTATATTTATTCTATGTTTGTAGGTGTCCGAGGGACGTATCAAGGACTGACTGCTACACTTCTGAAGCAGGGCAGCAACCAGGCTATACGCTTTTATGTTATGAACTTGTTGCGCAACTGGTACAAAGGTGAGGATGTGATAACTGTCCTTCATTTGACAGTAATACTTTGAAATTAATTGATTTTAATATTGCCGTTCAACAAAATGATTATCTTGTCTTTTTCTTCAGGCGATGACCCCAGACGTGACATGCATCTGCTAGTTACAGCGTTGTTCGGAGCAACAGCCGGGGCAGCGAGTGTTTTTGGGAACACGCCACTTGATGTGGTGAAGACTCGAATGCAGGTCAGCAGAGATTGATGCTTATTATTTATTAAATAATTAAAATGAATATATTTATTAATTTTTAAAGAAAATGTCATTAAATACCACTCGTAGATATATT